AAAGCTGCTCCAGAATGCCGGCAGAGAAGTGTCAGAATAAGGAGTCAAGACTAAAAGAACATTAAAACAGTTCAGAGGGTATCAGTCATTGGGCAGTGTGCCTGATAAGGAATTCAAAGTCATGTTCATAAAGATACTGGACTTGAGAAAAAAAGTGGATGAATGGAGAATTTTTTAAAATTTTAGAGATTTTAAAAATCTCTAAAATTTTAAAAGAATTTTAAAGAGAATTTTAAAGAAAATGCAAAAAAGGGTGCCTGCGTGGCACAGTAGGTTAAGCGTCTGACAGAGCGGTTCCGGCTCAGGTGGTAATCTCAGGGTTGTGAGATCGAGCCCCACATGGGGTTCCATACTCAGCACAGAGTCTGCTTGAGGTTTTCTCCCCCCTCCTCCTGCTCTTGCTCTCTCTCAAAAAAACAAACCACCAGTCAGAGGTGAAGAATTTAACCAAAATTAAAAAATACACCAGAAGGAATCAATAGCGGACTAGGGGATGCAGAAGAATGTGTCAGCCACCTGGAAGACACCGTGATGGAAAACAAGCTGAACAGCAAAAATTAAAAAATGAAAACCGGTTAAGGGAACTCAGTGACATCAAGTATAACAGCATTTGCACTATAGGGATCCCAGAAGAAGAGACACAGAAGGGGGCAGAAAATGTTCCTAATCCAAAAAAGGAAACAGACATCCAGGTCCAGGAAGCACAGAGAGCTCTTAACGAGATGAACCTAAGGAGATCCACACCAGGACACGATATTGCCAAAGTGATGATAAACCATTTTACAAACGGCAAAACCGCTATAGGCAAGGGATACCCCAGAAGGGGTATTTGTGTTTTCAGCACAAACTTTGCAGGCCAGAAGGAAGTGGCATAGTATGTGGAAAGTGCTGAAAGGAAAAAACCTACAACCAACAATACCCAGCAAGGTCATCATTCAGAACGTAAGGGAGGTGGTTTCCCAAACAAAAGTTAAAGGAGTTCATCACCACTAGGCCAGCCATATAGGACGTGTTAAGGAAGAAATTTCACAAATAAAAGCAAATATATTTGGTAAAAATATTACTCATTTAGAAAAACATGGTGGTTAAACCACAAAAATAGTAAAAATCTATTATATCTATAAAAATTAGTCAAGGGATACACAAAAATGTAAAATAAGACATACATAAAACATGGGGGGGCAGGGGAGTAAAAATGTAGTGCTTTTAGAATGTGTTCAAACTTAAGATACTAACACCTTAATAAAGACGACAGTGCAGGGGCGCCTGGGTGGCTCAGTGGTTAAGCCTCTGCCTTCAGCTCAGGTCATGATCTCAGGGTCCTGGGATCAAGTCCCACGTCGGGCTTTCTGCTCAGTGGAGAACCTGCTTCCTCCCTCTCTCTCTCTCTCTCTCTCTCTCTCTCTCTGTCTACTTGTGATCTCTGTCAAATAAATAAATAAAATCTTCAAAAAAAAATCATTTAAAAAAAAGACAGTGCATGTAAGATGTTACATATGAATCTAATGGTAGCCACAAATCAAAAATCTATAATAGATAAATAAAGGAACAATACCATCAAACTCATAAGGGAAAAGAAAGGAAGAGAAACAGAAACAGAAAACAATTACAAAACGGCAGTGAGTACGTACTTAATACTGCCTTTAAATGTAAATGGGCCAAGTGCTCTAATCGGGAGACATAGGGTGACTGAATGGATAGAAAAAACAAGACCATTTATAAGCTGCCTTCAAGAGACTCACTTCAGACTTAAAGACAGAGATAAAGTGAAGGGATGGAAAAAATATATACACTATGCAGATGGAGGGGGGGCAGGTAGGGATACTTCTATCAGATGAACAGACTAAAAGTGTACAGTGGGACACCTGGGTGGCTCAGGCACTTGAGCATCTGCCTCTTGATTTTGGCTAAGATCGTGATCAAAGGGTCATGAGATTAAGCCCTATGTAGGCTCCACACTAGGCTTGGAGCCTGCTTAAGATTCTCTCTCGGGCACGGGGGTGGGACAGTCTGTTGAGCATCTGACTGACTCTTGGTTTCAGCTCAGGTCACGAGATTGAACGCAGCGTCAGGCTCCATACTCCACTCAGAGTCTGCTTAAGATCTCACTGTGTCTCCCTCTGCACTTCCATCCCCCATGAGCACTGTGCCTCTAAAATAAACCTTTAAAGAAGAAAAACTTCTTTTTCCCTTCCCCTCTCACTTCCCGTGTGTGTGTGTGTGTGTGTGTGTCTTCTCAACCTAACAACAACAACGACGGTAGCAGGAGATAGAGGAGGACAGTACATAATGATGAATCCATCTGAGACCGAACTGTTGTAAATATGCACCCAACATAGGAGCACCTATATATAGCAAATACTTACAGACAGAAAGGGAGAAGTTGACAGTAACACAATGATAACAAGGGGCTTCACCCCGCTTACATCAAAGGATGGAGGATACAGACAGAAAGGAAGGAAACAGTGGCTTTGAATGCATTAGCCCAGATGGATCTAACATTCACACATACAACATTCCATCCCAAAGCAGAATACACATTCTTTTCAAGTGCACATGGAACGTTCTTCAGGATAGCTCATATGTTAAGCCATAAAACAAGTCTTAAGTTTAAAATTGAAATCCTCCCAAGTATCTTTTCCTTCCACTATGAATTGAGACAAGAAATCAATTTCAAGAAAAAAAAAAACTTGAAAAATACACAAACACATGCTACTAAACTGAGTGGGTCAACCAAGAAAACAAAGAGATCAAAAAATACATGGAGAAAAATGGAAACATGATGGTCTGAAGTCTTTGGGACACAGCAAAAGCAGTTCTGCATTTGCAATAACACAGGCCTACCTCAAGAAACAAGAAACACTTCAAAAAAAATCTAACTTTACACGTAAAGGAACCAGAAAAAGAAGAACAAAGCCCAAAGCTAGTAGAGGGAACAAAATAAAGATTGGAGCAGAAATAAGTAGGACTTTTTTTTTTTTTTTTTTTTAAGATTTTATGTATTTGACAGAGCGAGAGAGGGAACACAAGCAGGGGAGCAGGAGAGGGAGAAGCAGGCTTCCTGCTCAGCAGGGAGCTGGATGTGGGGCTCGATCCCAGGACCCCAGGATCATGACCTGAGCCAAAGGCAGATGCTTTACGACTGAGCCACCCAGGTGCCTAAATGGGAAATTTTTTAAAATAGATCAGTA